TCACTACTGGGCCTGTTGGCAGCACCACGCTAGATGATGAAGACATTGAGATTGTTAACACTTTTAGTTTGCTTGGCTACACAAGCAACACTCATGGCACCAGCAGTCAGAAAATTAAAAAATGTATTACAGATGGGAAATTATGCTGTTAGAGACTTCTCGAAACTACTGAAGAGCAACAATGTCAGCATGGAGACTAAGGTGACCCTGATATAGGCCATGGTCTTTGAAATCACTTGCTATGCATGAGAGATCTGGTCAATGACTAGGGTTGGTAGAAGGAGAATTGATGCCTTTGAGCTATGGTGTTAGCAAAAAGTATTGAAGCATGGACTGCTGGGAGAACAAACAAGTTTAACCTGGAGAGGGTGAACCCAGGCTGCTCTTTGGAGGCAAGGATTCTGCAGCTCCGCTTGACATAATTTGGACATGTTGCAAGGAGGAACTGGTCCTTGGAAAGGGAAGTCATGCTTGTGAAGGTGAAGGGACAGCTCAGGGAGGGAAGACCCTCAATGAGGTGGATTTTTTCAGTGATTGGGATCAGGGTAAGTGTGTCTGAGACACTGAGATTGGCTCAGGATGGAGCAGGGTTTAAGGCTGTTTTACATAGTGTCGCTGTAAGTCATAAGTGACTCAATGGCACATAACAATAACAATAACAACTTTCAAGCTGGAAGGAACTCATAGCTGATGCTCCAGCAGGTTTGCAGAGTCATAAATTGCACAGGAGGTGGTTGGTTGTCCAACTTTCTCTCATGGAACAGCAAATGGATTCAAACTTCAAACCTTTGGGCTGGCAGGACAACCTTTTATCCAGTAGGTCATCAGAGCTCCCGTTAGGACGTTGTTGTTATTGTTATGTGCCATCGAGCCACTTGAGACGTATTGTGACCCTATGTACAAGAGCCCTAAACCCTGTTCTATCCTGTGTCAACGTCACCATCTCTGACACATTCACTCCAACCACCCCAATCACAGAATAGATCCATCTCATTGAGGGTCTTCCTCTCCTCTGTTGTTCTTCCACTCTCCCAAACATGGTGTTCCTCTCCAAGGACCAGTCCCTCCCTGCAACATGCCCAAAGTATGTCAGACAATGCTTCAGAATCCTTGACTCCAGGGAACATTCTGGCTTCACCCTCTGCAAGACAAACCTGTTTGTTCTCCTAGTAGTCCATGATATTTTCAGCACTCTTTTCCAGCACCACAGCCCAAAGCTTTCTCTTTCTATCATACCTAGTCACTGTCCAATCTCTGATGCATAATACGTAACTGCAAAGACTATAGCCTGGATCAGGCCCACCGTAGTCTCCTGCCTGACATTCAGTACTCTCGAGGTCCCTGACAGCTGACGTTCCCAATGCGATTTGTCTCTTGATTTCCTGGTTTCTGGTACCAAGAGTGTTGACTGTGGAGCCAAGCAAACTAAAACTATTGGCTTTCTCAACCTCTCCACTATCCATAGTGATACTGCCAGTTAGCCCAGTAGTGAGAATCTTTGTTTTCTTGATGTTGAGCTTCAATCCGTATTGAAGGCTGCAGTCCTTGACCTTCTGCAGCAAGTGCTTCAGGTCCTCCTCAGTTTCAGTGAGCAGGGTTGTTAAATCTGCATAACTCAGGTTGTTGATGACTCTTCCACAAATCCTTCCATCTTCTTTTAATGTTTATTGCATCATTTAACATTCTACCCAATGCATCCTTGAGCATTACCACCCATGGCTTTAATTTTTTTTTCAACTCCTTCAGCTTAAGAAACACTGAGTTCAGCCCTTTGATTTTCTGACTCCAGCACTCTGCACATTTCATTATAGTATCTTGCTTTGTCGTCCCAAGCTGCCTTTTGAAATTTTCTGTTCAGCTCTTTGATTTCTTCCTTTACCTTTAGCTTCTCAGTGTTCTAATGGTATATTCAGAGTCTCATCTTGGTCTTTTCTTCTTCTTCAGCCTTTGTAATGACCTTTTGCATTCTTCATGGATGATTTTCTTGATATCCTCCCAGAGCTCATTTGGTCTAGGCTCATTGGTGCTCAAGGCCTCAAACCTATTCCTGAGATGGTTTTGAAATTTGAGGTGGGACATATTAAGGTCAAATTTCGGTTCCTATTACTAGTGACAAGAAATTGTGCTGCAATCTCAAAGGCATGCAGTTCAAATTCACCAGCTGCTCCACAGAAGAAGGATGGAAAATTTTCTCTCATGCCATTAGCTGCCTCTAACAACTCTTTAGGGTACAGGTATAATTTACCTACTGATTCACTTGTCTTTAACATAAAAATAAAAATATTTGTCAACAAAACTCATATAAACTATGATGAAGAAAATTTGTTTCTAAGTATTTTAAAAACATAATAAATTGTGCTGGGAGACTAGTGCTAAGTCCAAGATGACATAAACTGCAAGAATAGCCATATTTTCAAAACTCAAAACTTCTTTTTATTGAACAATCCAAGTGCTACACATAACCTTCTTCAGAGCCCCTATCACTTCCTTGTTTCTCAAACTATAAATGAGAGGATTTAGCATGGGAGTAAGAATGGTATAAAACACAGAAAGACCTTGATCCATCTCTGGAGTGTGAGAAGATGCAGGTGCCATGTAAACCACTATTCCTGGCCCCAAGTAGAGACTCACCACAGTCAAGTGGGAAGAACAGGTAGCCAGTGCTTTATTTCTCCCTTCAGGAGAATTCATTCTTAGAACGGTGAGGAAGATACGAAGGTAAGATGTTATAATTAGTGATAGTGGCACAATAATATATATGATGCTCATAACCATTATCACCATCAAGTATCCTGAGGTATCTTCACAGGAGAGTGTCAGGATGGCAGGCATCTCACAGAAGAAGTGGTTGATTTCTCTGTTGTCACAGGTAGGAAAATGCATCGTGTAAATTGTCTGTGCCACGGAGTTGAGCACACCTCCAATCCAAGACCCAATAGCCATCTGCAAACAGACTGTTGGACTCATGATGGTTGTGTATCTCAGAGGATTACATACAGCCACATAGCGATCATAAGCCATGAGTGTCAGAAGGACGCATTCTGCATCTGCTAACATCAGCCAGAAGAACATCTGTGTACCACAACCAACACGTGAGATTGTCCTGCTCCCAGAAAAGAAATTCATGGCCATCTTGGGAACAGTGGTTGAAACATAGGCCAGGTCAATGATAGAGAGTTGACATAAAAGAAAGTACATGGGAGTGTGGAGCCTAGAGTCTACCACTATCAGAAAGACAAGAGTAGCATTTCCTAGAATTGCAAGGAAGTAGATGAGAAGGATGATGGACATAAAAATGCTAGGGTATCTGTGAGTAGGGAAGAGTCCCAGAAGAATATAGTCTGTGTCCCATGTTGCATTTCCTGACTCCATAGCTCAAGAATTCTAACTGGGGGAAAAAATAATTGGTTAGAAAATAACCAATTTGTTAAAGTCTATAGTTGGATTAATAAAAGATTTATTTCTATCAAATAAAAAATCTCATCATTTTCTAGAAAAGTACTAAATTCCTCATTTTAATGAGATTTGTCTGTCATTTTCTTATAATTGCAATCTACATGAGTAATATTTCTACATATTTAAGCATAGAGATAATCTAAGAAACAATTCTATCATAATGCACAGCTGCCTGCATCCTTGTAGACTCAGATAGTTGTTGTTGTTTTTGTTGTTGTTGTTGTTAGCTGCCATTGAGTCAAGTACAATTCATAACAACCCTATGAACAAAAGATCTGACCCCTACTCTATCCTGTGCCATCATCACCGCTCCTAAAACACAAGAGTTGATTATGCCAGTCACCCCATAAATCCACTTGGTTGAGAGTCTTCCTTTCCTTCGCTGACCCTCCACCCTTATTGTTTTTTCTCATTTCAACTGACTTCCAATCTAGGCTCTACCACTTTCGTCGTGTACCTTTCAGCCAGACCGACCTATAGCTGACTCTCCAAGGGGTTTTCAGAGCAGTTAATAACACAAGATGAGATTGCCCATCCTTCTCCCACAGAAAAGCTGGTGGCCTTCAATAGCATACCTCTGTTATTGTCGCTTAACTCTTTGTCTGTATGCTGCCAAAACTACACTACTATAAACATTCCAGTTCCTCTAGTGTTCATAGGGTTTTTAAAGGCCTGCTATTTAAGAAATGGATGTCAATCCTGCTTTCTAGTCTGTCTCATTCTGGGAGCTCCACCAAACCCTGTTAACCATGGGCAATCCTTATGGCATTTGGCACAGCTTTCAGCATCCCAGCAACCCCAAGTTATCTCAGTACAGCAAACTGACATACAAGTGCTGTACCACTTACAGCAATGTTTTTCCAGAAAAAAATTAACACATACCTTCCGGAACCCAACTGCTTCATATAGGATGGCCCCACAACCACTTTATTATATCTGTTTTGCAGATGAAAAAAGACAATGGTGATTCTTTCACAGTGTAATAATTATAATTAATGTTACCAAATTGTATGTCTAAACATACCATTTGCTACACAGATAAATTTAAAAAGACAGTTAAGTAGATGATAGATACATACAAAGATGTGAATTTACAGGTAGATACAAATACAAAGAGATAGATAGATAGATAGATAGATAGATAGATAGATAGATAGATAGATAGATAGATATAGATAGATGATAGATAGACAGTTGATAGACTTAAAAACAAAACAAAACAGTTGTCACCAATTCTGATTCACAGAACTTACTATGTTAGAGTTTTAACATACTTAAGTTTTCAACAACTAAGATCTTTAGAAGTAGATTTTCAGGACTTTTTTTTATTAGATATAAGTAGATTCAAGCTGCCAACCACTCATCACTCACTTGATCTAATCTGATACTTAATACTTTTAGTAACTCAGGAAGATATCTCTAGTTTTCTCTCTCATTTTCTCTCTTGCTCTATTTTTTTCTCTCTCTCTCTCTCAATGTATCTCTACATATTTATTTCCCAATAAATAATTTTTAAAACAAAACTAGTTTCAAATTATAAGATATTATATGGACAAGTTAAAATTTCAATATTTGATATAATGTGTCAAGATTAAAAAAATCAGTTATTCCTGTCCACTCTTAATGTTTATGTTGCTAATAAATATCTACGCCTGGTAACTCAGAATATGTAACTAAAAACATTTTATGTTTGATAATTCTAGAGACCCTGGACAGTGACCAACAATGTGAGGTAGCAATTTCAGTTCTCTTTTTTCTCAGTAGTAATTGGCACTTTATCTACAAAGTCTGGCATATTTTACATTACCCATTTATTTTCCCCATCGTGAATCATGTGTTAATGAATTAAATACCAATTCTCCATTGCACTTAACTAGAAGGCTTTGACAAATCAGTCACTTTGACAGAAGTTATTATTCTGATCATTTAAACCTCAATTGAAAATAGAAACTCATCAAGTTTTATCAAATTTAGAAGCAGAAACATACTGTCATTTTTCTAGCTATACTCTTAGGCACAATTTTCTTTCTGTCTGTTAGAAAAAGATCTAAGAAAGAGAGAAAAGAAAAAGCAACTGATGTCCAGTAACGAACAGTACTTTATTAAGTAGACTTGACAGGAATACCAGGTGACTGTTCAGAAAAAATAAAAAAGAATGACATGCAGGTAGACAAAAGCAGTTTCCTTTTATAGGGGCTGTTCAGGATATAGAGAGGGGGTAGTAGTTTTCTTGAGAAGTTGGGAGTGTGGGTCCTTTCAGGATGCTATCAGGCCCAGGGATTTATCAGGATCTGGTCATCTAGTAGCTTTATCAGGATATAGTGAAACCATATGAAGACATTTTCAGACCTGGGCTATTATTTGGGGTAGGCAGCCAGGAACTGCAACATTCTTCCTTCAAAAGTGCCCACATCTTTTCCTTCTGGTTAATTCCTTTCTATTTTTTAGTGTTCCATGCTAAACAAAGCATTCCTCATCTTTGTCTGGGTTGGGTTCCACTGTAATATAACCCATAGAACTTCTATAATAACAGTTATCCCATTGTATTGTTACTGACTGTTTTTATTAGCTACACTGTTGTTTATTGTTGTTATTAAGTGCCATCTAGTCTTAGGCAAATCATAGCAACCTTATGAACGAAAGTCCTCCACAACTGGCATGTGTGACTTTCATCCTTTCCCCAGGTTCATAGGGTTTCCAGAGGCAACCTATTTTGGAAGTGATTGTCACTCCTCCATCCAAGCTTGTTTTAATCGAGGAGCTCCAGCAAACACTCTCCACCCACTTGGGGCAAAGAGAAAGCCACAAATGTTCCCACATTCCCCACCTACGACTCTTCCAGGTTCAAGAAGCTTCATCCATCAACTACATTGCAACCTCTAAATGTTTTGCATTTCCAATTCATCACAATATGCCTGGTGTGGGGCATAATGTATTAAGATGCTAACCTAAAAGTAATTGTTTCTCTGGAGTTGGAACCTACCTATAGCTGACCCTTCACAGAGTTTCAGAGGCTTTTAATAGCACAGGAGGAGATTGCCAAATCCTTCTCCTACAGAGCTGCTGACCGGTGGATTAGAATCACTTGCCTTAGCTGATTGTAGCACAGCTTCACATCCCTAAACCATCAGAGGAATATTGCTCAAATCCACCAGCAGTTTCCTCCTTTGGAAAGAGTATAGAGGACAATTGAGAATCCCTATGACAAATCTGACTGGGCAGCAGTGAGTTTTGTTTTTTCCCCTATCAATGTGTCTGGTAAAAAAAAAAGAATACATAAAATAATGTTATTTACATTTCTCATGGTGCTTTCTAATCCAAGGATCCAAGTCCAAGCAGAATGTTCCACACTGACCACCACCTCTAGCCCGAGGGTGAGGATGGGGTCCCAAATCCTTTGTGGTGTGTGGATCCAGTGAGAACTTTATCAGTAGTCAGGCAATGAAGAAATACTGAGCTTCATCATAATTATTAGGACAAATATATCTGTCGTATTTTTCACTACTTGCAGTAGTGGGCAGCTCATAGTGATTTTTTGGGAAAGAAAATACTTTCTAAAATAAAAGGGATATTATGTAAAAGAAAAAAGAGATCAAATGGTTTAATTGTTTTTGCTATGAAAAACTGTCACTTGAATGATTTAATGTTTAATAAAATATACCATTTAATTACATATTTTAAAATCTCTTTAAGCACTGTGGAAATATCGACTTTATCTCAGTCACAAAAAGACAAATATGGCATAATGCCACTGTTATAAAAGAGAACTGACATAGGGATTGGGGAGAGACTGAGAAAGAGGGGATAAATAATGTATAGTGCATTTACACAGATGAGAGACAGAACAGTTTAAAAGGGATACGTGATTAGATATTATTGTTATGCAGGAATCCAGAATGAAGGTAGCATAGTGGAGTGGACTTGGGGGGAGGGATTGAATAACAATGAAAGAATCTTTTCTTTTACTTTTCAAAGGGAAAAACAAATTGGAGGAGGGGTGGGCAGGGAGAAAAGTGCAATAATGAATGAATGGAAATCCAAAGTTTCTGTAAACTTTCATTAAAATAAAATTAAATTATACTTTTTGTTTAAACTCAGTAAAAAAAAATGGTAGGTAGATAATGGCTCCAACTATGAATTTGTTTTAAACCGATGAGCTGCCTTTTGGGTATCTATAATGTGACTGAAGTGGTATCTACATAAATAGGTCTCTGCCAACTTCTTCATACTATAGAGATCAAGACTGGTAATTTGAATACATATTGAGTACAAAAATCTGTTTCTCAATTTTCACACAGAATAAAGAAAAGCATTAAATGACACTTAGGTCCCTACCTAAGAGGCATCTAGTTAGTATTTTATAACCAAGAGTATATAAATTTTATAATTTGAAATATATTTTCATATTTTATATTTTTATTGTCAACTTCGTGCCCAAAATAGACACTCATATAGTTGGAAAGAACATACTGAATTGAAAATTGCACATTTTAAAAAATGATTAATATTTAAAATAATAAATATATCTGTAAATAACCATAATACATATTACTGTTTGACTTCTTACATTTTAGATTTGTCTTAAACCACAAACAAAAGACTAAAGTTTTCATTAGATTGAACCTTTTTCTCTGAAAGAAATACTTATACAAAACATAAAATGTCAAAATTTTTCAAGGTCTATTAAAAATGGATTAATCTACTTTATTTCAAGCCATAAACGCGTTAGTTTCATTAATACATTATTTTGCTATTCCAACTAGCGATTTTGAAATTGAGAAAGCAAATATAGTTCAATGATTCACAAATTCATTAAGATTCACGAATGCATTAAGATAGACACATAGCGTCAAGTAAACTTAGCTGAACAGGTCATATGCCAACTACTCATAATGCTTAAAGTGCCCAGACTTAAT